TTCAGAAAATAATCCACGTAACTGAAATATCAATATAGTTTATAATAATTTATAAAAGATAACTTATATAAAATAAATTATGGTAAGCTAAAACATACATAAAATACATTATGATGACTCAAGGTATAATATAACTCACCTTAACTTTAATACCTCACTCTTTTGTTCCTCTACCAAAGACCTATTTAACATCCATATTTTTTTCCTCAATTTTCTTCATTTCTTTCTCCTTCATTTCTCTCATTTCTTTCTTTTTTTCTCTTCCTTCCCTTTCTTATTCTTCACCCCAGAAAATCCTCTCTTTTATAGAGAGAATGCCGTGGCCACCAAGCCAAGTTGCCACGTGTTGACTTCTTATTAATCTTCATTAATTTAAGCTTATCCAAACTTAACTTAATTATAAATATTATATTTTGATTCTTTTTTATCTCTAAATTCTTAATCATCACATAATAATACAAAATAAGTTATATATTTTCTTAACTGTGATTAAATAATATTAGTATAAATTATACAAAATAATGAAAAATCTGAGTTGTTACATAATTAATATTATATAATTAAAAAATATAACTATAAATTATAAATAAATAAAAATATATATAAATACTCAAATAAAAATAAAAATTATTGGATAGTATTTATTAATAATATTTAATAAAGTCATAATTGATAAAAAAAGTCACTTGTTTTAAAGAAATTAAAATTTTCAAACATTGCCTCCAAACAAATTGATTGAATGCTAGATTTAATTTTGGAGGGAAATGAAATTTTCAACTCTCCCCTCAATCAATATGTTTCAAATAATTTGATTGAATCCCATATAGAATTTTATAGGTTCTCTTTGAAAAATCTTTTCCTATAAATAGGAATAGACTTTTATAATTTTCTCAAGTTTTCAATAAGACTCTTCCTTATGAAAGGGGACTCTTGAAATAAGAATTTTTAGTCAAAATTTTGAAATATATTTATATATAAAAGAAAGAAAGAAAGAAAAGAAAAAAAAATGGTCCGACCCTTCAAACCTAGTTCGGGTCACCGGTTTAGCCGGTTCGACTGCCGGGTCTTTTGATTTTTCATTTCTACATCGGTTTTGCATCCAGTACGATTTTAGGGGGTTGACCAGACCGGACCGGAACAAGGCCCGATTCCCGGTCCGATCCAGGTTTCAAAACTGTTGGGTGTACCTCCTTATTGGAGTGTGGGACCCAATTGGTTTGTTAAAGAATTTTAATTTGACTTGGTTTAGGTATAATATATTTTTATATATTATATTTGTGGAGACCCAATCCAATTTGGAAACAACTAAGGTTTGATAATAAACCCTAGATCCACAATATTATGATTGGCATTATCTTTCCCAAAAAGAAAAAGTGCAGCCGTTGTTTTTTGCTTGGGAGGTTGCAGCACAGTTTTGATCAATTGTTGGTGGGATTTGCTTTGTGGAACAACAACAAGTTGGTGCATCTTTGTTTGGATGCTTTGGTGAAGTTGATTTGGGTCGTTATTTTGGGTCTTCTTCAACTCTGGTTCTGAAAATTTTGGTTCATCTATTTGGTAAGGTCTTTCCTCTTGTTTATTTGTGATTATTTGGAATTCACCTAAGAGTGTTTTGTGAGATCATTCGTGTCTCGTTTGTAATCGTTTGGAAACTTTTCGATTGATAGTGGAATTGGATTTTGATCCCGTGAACGTACCTCACATTGAGAGAATCACGTAAAATTCTTGTGTTGCTTTTGATTTAATTTTTCTGCATTAGTTTTTATTCCCATTGATTGATTTACTTGTAGGGAATCATATATTTTCCCTAACAACTGGTATCAGAGCTTACGGTTTATTTGAGTCTATTTATTTGTGTAAATCAATGGAGGGGAATATGGGTCGTATGTCTAGCTTCAATGGAAGTAATTGGGTAACTTGGAAAACTAAAATGGAGGACCTATTATTTGGTAAAGATTTGTATGGACCCATTGAGGGTGATAGTGGCAAACCCGAGGGTATGAAAGATGATGAATGGAATAGGCTTAATCGAAAATCCGTTTGGTGTTATCCGTAATGGATTGATGACAGTGTGTTTCATCGTGTTGCTACTAAACTTCAGCACATGATTTATGGAAAAAATTAGAGAGCTTTATGATAGAAAATCAGCACCAAATAAAAGCTTTCTATTTCGTAAGTTGGTTAATTTAAAAATACAAAGAGGCAGCCCTATTCCGGAAACATCTGAATGAAAATAAAGAGTATTGTTAACCACTTGCCTCTATGAAATTGGTTTTGTATGCATGAGTTGCAGGCTTTTTGATGCTACTAAGTTCTTGCCTGAAGTTGGGAGACTTTGGTTGTGACGGTTTAGTATCGGCACCGATGGAGTTGTCACCAATGGGTCCAAGTCAACTAGTAGCTTTGTTGAATGCAAGAAACTAGAAGAAAATCAGCGGGCTTCCTTCTTTATTCAGAAAGCATTTTTTGTGAGAGGCCGAAGCAAAACAAGAGGGGAGGAGTTAAGCACTGCCATGATCGTGATCAAAGTCGTTGACAAAATCAAAAGGATGGATTCTTTTTCAAAGAAAGATATGAGTGCCATTATTGCCATGAGAAAGGCACATGAAGCAAGGAATGGCGAAAGCTCAAGAATAGGGAGAAAAGGCGGTGACAAAAAGTGTAGACAAGACAAGAAGACACAAACAAGTTACTACAATGGTGATCTCATGTCGTTTATGAAGTGATTGTATCGAATTTTGTGGGCCAAGAAGTAGTAATTGGGGTGATTGATTCCGTGCTTCTTTTCAGTGTGACTTAACTGCGAGTTGATTTCTTCACTACCTACACCGAAGGAGATTATGGTTTTGTTCGAATGGGTATGAAGGTTTGTCAGATTATTGCATGGGTGAGTTTGCTTTGGAAACAATTTGGGTTGCAAGTTCGTTTGCTTAAAGAATTGAGGCATGTTCCCGACATTCGCCTCAATTTGATCTCTTACGTGGAAGGCTAGATGATGAAGGTTCAACAAACAAATTTGGTGATGGAATATGAAGCTCACCAAAAGGGTTCTTTGGTTGGTGGCTAAGTGGCAAGAAGACTCATACAACTTTATTCGATTGTAGGAAAAATTTGTAAAGGTGTTGTCAATGCACTTTGAAGATGATACTTCTACTGAATTGTGGCAACAAGCGGCTTGGATATGAGTGAAAAGGGGCTGCAAGTTTTGTTCAAGAAAGAAGCTTCTACCCGAATTTGAAGTAACATCTTAAAATTTGTGTTCATTGTTTTGCGGGTAAACAACATAGATGTTTCTTTTTCAATAAATGTTGCTTCTTAGAAAAGAAAATGTTTTTGGAGTTGATCATCAGATGTTTGTGGTCCTTTAAAAGTTAGAACGCAATGGTGCGTTGCACTTTATTTTGTTACTTTCATTGATGATTATTCAAGGAAAGTTTGGGCTTATCTACTTAAAAACTAAAGATCAAGTTCTAGAAGTATTTTAAGCACTTTCAGCCATGGTTGAAATAGAAAGCATGGCAGAAATTGAAATGCCATCGATCAAGACAATGGTGGTGAATACATTGGGGCCATTTGATGGAGTAATTGTCGCAGCCAAGGTATTCGCATCAAAAGATAGTTAGAAGACTCCTCACAAAATGGAGTTTGCTCCAGAGGGATGAACCGCACGCATTTGTGAAAGAACAAGGTGTTTTCTTTCACAAAGCTAAATTGCCAAGATCCTTTTGGGGTGACGGCATTGAAGACAGCAGTTGACGTGATCAATTTTGTCTCTTCCTATCCTTTGAATGGTGATGTTCCAGAAAGAGTTTGGAACCGGCAAAGAATGTGTCCTTATGAGCACTTTGAGAGTGTTTGGTTGCCGAGCTTTGTTCACATTCCAAAAGATGAGAGGTCCAAGCTTGATAGCAAGTCAAGACAATGTTTTTTCTTGCTATAGGCGGTGATGAATTTGGTTAATAGATTGTGGGATCCGGTCGACAAGAAAGTCAATTCGAAGCCATGATGTTGTGTTTCTGAAGACCAAACAATTGAAGGACTTTTGGCAAAGGTGATCAACCGGAGCCAAAAAAACTAGTGATCTCATTGACATGGATCCATCTCCCTTCATCTTCACGTTGATATTAAATGTGGAAGATGTGTAGCCACCCTAAATTGAAAGATATAGAGGATGAATGCTAACTAATGAAGTTGAGCCAGGGAAATTGAGGAGAGCATCCAACTCAAGAACCACCACCACAACTTGAGTTGAGGAAACTACAAGGGGACCGACAACCTCAAGAAGTAAGTCTCCTAATGAATTTGTGTTGATTTCTGATTCAAGGGAGCCTGAGGAGCTACCAAGAAGCAATGAGGCATGTAAAGAAAGGTGATTGGAAAAAGGCCATTGAACGAGGAGATGAATTCCTTGCTTGAAAACCAAGTTATGATTTAGTAAGTTGCCTAAAGGGAGGAAATTTGAAAAAATAAGTGGGTTTTCAAATTGAAGAATGATTGGCAAGAATCTGAGTACAAGGCACGTCTTGTTGTGAAAGGCTTGGGCAAAAGAAAAGTATTGATTTTGATAAAATTTTCTCGCCAGTGTAAAGATGTCTTCTATTTGGGTTGTACCTTGGCATGCCTGAAGTATGAACCTTGAAGTGAGCAACTTGATGTGAGACCGCATTTATCTTCATGGTGATCTTGAAGAAGAAAATTTACTGGAGCAACCGGAAGGTTTGTGTGAAAAAGGGAAAGAGAAATTTGTTTGCAAATTGAAGAAAAGTTTTGTATGGTCTTCAAGCAAGAGCCCGCGAACAATTGGTACAAAATTTGACTCTTTCATGATGAATAATGGTTTTTTCTAAAACCAACTCGACCATGTGTGTTTGTGAAAAATTTTCTCGGATGCAAATTTATTATTCCTTTTGATTTATGTGATGACATGTTAATTGTGGGTCAAGATTCTACCATGATAAACAGGTTGAAAATTGAGTTGAGCAAGTCTTTTGCTATGAAAGATGGGACCAGCAAAGCAAATCTTTTGGTATGAAAAATCTGTTCGTGATCGCAAAGAGGGGCTGATTGGTTGTCCTCAAGAAAGCTACATTGAGAAAGTTCTTGAGAGGTTAACATGAATTAAAGCAAAGCGTTGGTTGTCCAACTTGCGGGTCACTTCAACTTAGTTCGAATCAATGTCCTAAAAATGAGAAAGACAAAGAAGAGATGTTTGAAGTTCCTTATGCGTTCAGCAGTTTGTGTTCTTTGATGTACGCCCATTGGTTTGTACAAAGGCCGATATTCTCACGCCGTTGTGTGGTGAGTCGGTTTCTCTCTATATCCGGGGTAAAGAACATTGGGCAGCGGTAAAATGAATTCTAAGATATCTTCGAGGGACTTCGACGGTGTGTTTTGTGTTTTGGGTGAAAGCCAAGATGCTTGATGGGTTCACTGTGTTCTGACATGGCCGGTGATTGTGATTCTAGGAAATCTATTTCGGGGTATTTGTATGACTTTTGCAGCGGGGAGCTGTGCATGGCAATCTAAATTACAAAAAATGTGTTTGCTCTCTCAACTACCGAAGCCTGAATTTATTGCCCAATTATGGAAGCTTGCAAAGAAGGTTTTATGGTTGAAGAAATTCTCTGCAAGAATTGGGTGTAAAGCAAGAAAGGTATGTCTTTAATGTGTGATAGTCAAAGTGCATTATTAAGTAAAATTCTTACTTTTCATTCGAGATCGAAACACATTGATGTGAGATACCATTGGATTCGTGATGTGTTAGATTCGAAATTGTTGCAACTCGAAAAGGTTCACACAGATGATAATATTTCAGATATGTTGACAAAGACTTTGTCGAGGGACAAACATTTGAAGTGTCGAACTTTGGCGGGTATGGTTGATTTCTCCACCTAAGTCGGTAGGGGGAGAATTGTTGGGTATACCTCCTTATTGGAGTGTGGGATCCAATTGGTTTATTAAAAGAGTTTAATTTAGTTTGGTATTAGTTATAATATATTTTTATATATTATATTTGTGGAGACCCAATCCAATTTGGAAACAACTAAGGTTTGATAATAAACCCTAAATCCACAATATTATGATTGGCATTATCTTTCCCAAAAAGAAAAAGTGCAGCCGTTGTTTTTTGCTTGGGAGGTTGCAGCACAGTTTTGATCAATTGTTGGTGGGATTTGCTTTGTGGAACAACAACAAGTTGGTGCATCTTTGTTTGGATGCTTTGGTGAAGTTGATTTGGGTCGTTATTTTGGGTCTTCTTCAACTTTGGTTTTGAAGATTTTGGTTCTTCTATTTGGTGAGGTCTTTCCCTCTTTGTTTATTTGTGATTATTTGGAATTCACCTAAGGGTGGTTTTGTGAGACCATTAGTGTCTCGTTTGTAATCGTTTGGAACTTATTTGGTTGATAGTGGAATCGGATTTCGATCCCGTGGACGTACCTTACATTGAGGGAACCACGTAAAAATTCTTGTGTTGCTCTTGATTTAATTTTTCCGCATTAGTTTTTATTCCCATTGATTGATTTACTTGTGGGGAATCACATATTTTCCCTAACAAAAACATTGGTTTCAGGACTTATATATAATATTTTGATTTGACATTTTGTGAGAAAAATTAAATAATTTTACACTTTCTGTTCGGATGACAAAATTAATTGTGGCACTTTACTTCAAAACTATGTGGGGGGTTTTCTGACCATATTTGAATCATAAGGAGTAAAATGCTTCGTTCCTAAACCACAAGGATAATGAATTTAACCCTAATTTTAAGTTAACTTTCAAAAATGATAATTTTTGGACTAAGTGTTGAATTTTTATTTTTTATTTTTGTAAAAAATCATAGATTTTTATAAATAATTACTTAATATTAATTTCAATTATTTTATATAACTTTGAGCTATATAATTAGGACGTCAATATATAATTTATGAAATTTCATTTGAGGAATTTTAGTAATCGAAATAATTTATATCAATTTGTAAAATCTACTTCTATAATTTTCTTTAATCGAAAAAATAACACATAGCTTTACATATCAAATCAATGTATTGATACTATTACGTAATACACAAAACAGTTAGCGATGATGTCATAAATATTGTGAAAATACTACTTAAATAAAAGGTGAATTTTTTTTTTAGAAAATTAAAGAGGGTGTATGTATATATATATATTACAAACATATTCATAAATTATAAGGGTAATAGTACTTTGAGAAAATGGGGCATGGTAGGTTACCAGGAGCTCAATGCCCCCACTTAACCCGATATTTTAAGGTTTGGAAAAACTATTTAGCATATAGGGCTGTGTTAAGTTTAGATTTTGAACCAATATAGTTTTTAGATTGAGTTTGGAATAAGAAATTTTAGTTTAACTCAACCTCACTTGACCATTTATAAAATACTAGTAGTTGGATACGTGCGTTACATGTGACATGAGATTTTTTATCAACTGTTAGTATTGTAATTATGCGTGTCTTTTTAATTGATATGTGATATGTATACAAAGTATAGAGATTTGTATAGGTAAATTGATCTGTATCCAAAATATAACTAAGTAAGAAATAAATACATACTCGGCTAAAGAATTTAAATGATAAATGAGAAATTTTATAAATATAAATATTAATTTACAACTAAATTGTTAAGATCACAATCTTATCTTAAATAATAAATAATAAACAAATTCTTTAAAAATATAGTATTACACAAATATTTTCTTTCAACTTTCACTTTAATTTTTCATATTTGTAGCTGTAATACAATTAAAGATATGAAATTAATTGCACAATTACACAATTTTGTTTAATAGTTCATCTCATAATACTAATTCATTGAACTCACTATTACATATTGTTTGCATATTATTGGTGTAAGAATGTATTAATATTAATATGTAATATATTTTTATATATCAAGAGTTATTGAGTCTCATTTCCTATGCCACGGATATTTTGTATGAAGAAAAATATAATTTTAGTCATTAGTATACAATTCATATACAGTTGTTGTGAAAAAAATAAATATAAAAAGTATAATTATTGTCGAAATGTAGGTACTTTGCAAAGTCTTAATTTGTTATTGAAAGTATTTATTATGGATACTTGTTTGTATGACATATATGTATTAAATATAAGTTGATAGGAAAACAATATATAATTTTGCAGTTTTTTCTTGGCAAATATAACTATATTACTAAAGTGATACATATTAAAAAATTTAGAGTTAATTATCTAAAAGTCCTATTTACAAATGTTATGGTAGGTCAGGTCTTATCTAAAGTTTTTTGAACCAATAAATCCTATTTAGTAAAACTGAGAATATTATCAGTTTTTCTTAATTTTTAAAATTAAGAACATTATCAAATTTGTATAGTAATATTCCAAATAATTGTTTCACTAACTGATGAAAAAAAACAGAGTATGAGATTAAACGTTTTTACCCTTCTACTTATTGGTTTGATTCAATTATTTAATAAAATCGAAAATATTATCAATTTTTTTTTTCAGTTTAAAACTGCGAACATTATTAGTTTTTTAATTTTTAATTTTTTTCATTTTTTTAATTTTGCACATCAATGTTCCATCATCATGCTCCTTTATAAGCACAAAATTTTCAATTTCGCACAAAAAAATTCAATTTTTTCAAAAAAAAAAATATTAATTTTTTTTGCATATATATATATATATATTAGTTTTTTCAATTTGAAAGTTAATGTTTAAAAGTTTTGAAAATTAAAATAAATGTCAAATCATCGTTTTATTTTATAGATAATCATAACTGATGAACAATCATTATTTGAAAGGCAATTTCGACTATTAAAAATTTAATGAAACTTGAAATTTCAAAAAATCTTAGTTAGGGTTTAATGGAGTATAAGTTCATAAATTATGACTTCTGTGTAAATGCCTCAAAAATTAAAGTATCCGATGATAATATAGTCCGATACAGGCCCCCTAAAAAACAGACCCCCTCGACCCCCTCTGAGGTGGCACCTGATGAAGTCATCTGAAGAAGAATTGCACAATGAAGAAGGTGTGATACACGCACCTGAAAGACAAAAGAAAAATACTGAAAACAAAGACGAAAAAAAAAACGGGAACGCCTTCCCTCTTCCCTTCCATTGTGCGTCCCCCATAGCTCTCCTCCGTCGACCATAGCTCTCATCCGTCGGCCATAGCTCTCCATCGACCATAGCATTTTGTCAGGTAATGTTACTCGAAAACCCCTCATTCTCCCCCCCTCTCTCTATCTACATACATTGATCAATCTCTGTGAAATTGAAATTGAAAATGAAACTAATAATGTACACATAATATCTGTATCACCACACATCTTATTATCAGCTAAAATGAAACTAATTTGAATTTTGATTTCTCTGTATTTCTTATTAGTTTCATAATGTTTGTCTTATGAAACTAAGTCATAATCAAACATCTGTGATGATTGAAATACAATGTCTGTCTTCATAATAATTTCAAAGTTTCATAACAGATGTTTGATAATTTCAATCAAACATTGTATTTCATAACAGATGTCTGTCTTCACAGATGTTTGATTGAAATACAATTTGTTTTATAATATTTTAGCTGATGTTTGATTAGTTTTATAATCAAACATCTGTGATGATTATAAGATGTTGGAAAGTTTATTATTAGATCAAAGTTTCAATCATCATAGATGTGTTTAACAAAGTTTATTATTAGATGTTTGATTAGTTTAATAATTTTATTATTAGTTTTAAAATATTTTAGCTGATGTTTGATCTTATAAACATCTGTGATTAATTTTAGACATCGCAGATGTTTGAATTTGTTTGATGGTTTATTTCAACAGTTTCTACAGTTTATTAGCTGATGTTTGATCTTATAAAATTATTTTATAAAATAATTATTAGTTTCATAACAGTTTCAAATTTTCCAATCATCTTATAAAATAATTATTCTAAAATCATTCTATTTGAATTTCATTTTTGATTGTCATAGAATGGAGGTTGATTCAAATGGTGGTGACAATCATTCAGTAAATGAGAGTGAACAAGTTGATTCTGATTTCTGACCCCCTCAAAAACAAGTTGAAGAACCGAAGAAGGGTATGTGTTTTAGCTCAAATGAAGAAGTGTACACATTTTATGCTACATATGCTAAGCATGTTGGCTTTTTTATAGCTCATAGAGCACAACATTTTGGAGATGATGGCGAATTAAAAAACTTTGCAACTGAATGTTCTCGAGCGGGGGAGAGAAAAAAGAAATCATAAGTGAACCCTTTGAAGCCATCTTTGTTCACAAAAATTGGTTGTAAAGCAAGGGTACGAGGTACTCTACAAAAGAATGGGACATATATGTTAACCACAGTTAACCTTGAGCATAATCATGATTTGATTCCCACTGACTCTCGTGATTTTGCAATGAATAAGAAAATTCGTACTCCTGTGAAGAGAAGATTAGAAATCAATGATCAAGCAGGGATTGGGGTGTCTAGGAACTATCATTCAATGGTTGTTGAAGCAGGGGGATATGAGTCATTGACATTTGATGAGCGAGATGCAAGGAATTACATTAATAGAGCTAGAAGATTAAGGCTTGGTGAAGGTGATGTCGAATCACTTCAAAGTTATTTTATGAGGATGAAAGCACATAGTGAGAAATTCTGTTATGTGATTGATGTTGATGAGGAGTTTTTCAATAGAAACTTGTTTTGGGCTGATGCAAGGAGTAGGGCTATGTATGAATCATTTGGAGATGTTGTTTCATTTGACACAACTTATCTGACAAACAAATATGACATGCCATTTGCTCCATTTGTAGGAGTCAATCATCATGGACAATCTATTTTGCTTGGTTGTAGATTGTTATCTAGTGAAGACACCGACATATTTGTTTGGCTATTCAAGTCGTGGTTAAGTTGCATGTTAAATAAACCTCTAAAAGCTATCATAACTGATCAATGCAGAGCTATGCAAAATGCTATAGAAATTGTCTTTCCACAGGCCCGGCATCGATGGTGCTTATGGCATGTAATGAAGAAAATACCGTAGAAGTTGAAAGGATATGCTTAGTATGAACCCATAAAGTTGGCTATGCAAAATGCAATTTATGATTGTTTGACAAGAGATGAATTTGAGGAAAAATAGGAAAAGATGCTTACTAAATTCAATCTTTATGATAATGAGTGGTTGGGGGTACTAGATCATGAGCGGCATCGATGGGTTCCTGTATATGTTAAAGACATTTTTTGGGCTGGCATGTCAACAACACAACGAAGTGAAAGCATGAGTGCATTTTTTGATGGATATGTCAACCCGAAGACTACATTAAAACAATTTGTTGAACAATATGACAATGCGTTGGGAAGTAAGGTAGAGAAAGAGAAGAAATCAGACTTCAAGTCTCGACATAAATTGTTTGATTGTCTAACTATATATGGCTTTGAGAAGCAATTTCAACAAGCCTACACCAATGCAAAATTCAAAGAAGTTCAAGGAGAGTTGAAGAGATTAGTGTACTGTCAAGCCTTGATTGTGAAAGATGAGGGAGCAATTTGTACATATAATGTCCAAGAAGCGATGATAGTTTGTGACAAGATGAAACATGTGGACTTTGTTGTGTATTTTAATTCAATTGAATATGAAGTTCAATGTATATGTCGGTTGTTTCAATTTAGAGGCATTATGTGTGCTCACTTACTCGCGGTGCTTGTGAGAAGGTGCATAAATGAGGTGCCCAGTAAGTATATTTTACCACATTGGAGGAAAGATTTGGTTCGAGAGTACATGAGAGGGTAATTTATGATCTGGAGTTGGGCCGAGGTAACGGCCGAGCAGGTTGAGGGCCCAACGGTGCATGGGGCCGAGCTGATCAGCTATCCGCCTGGAAAGGGGATGCCAGAACTTGGGCCGGGCAGAGTTTGGACTGTGTGCCACCCCGGACCGTACAGAAACTGCTCGGCCAGGAAGTGACCGATCGGACCAGGCTGCTCGGTCCGAGGATGGTCGAAGCCAGACAGACCGAGTGACCGGCGCCCGGAAAGGCGTGGTCAGCCGAGGTAGTTGTATGACCGGCAGGAAGGCCGATCAAAGTAAGTATCCGGGCTAGGCTCGGCCGGGATGCCGCTTAGCCCGGTCCTCCGTGTGTTTATCCGGTTAGGCGCTTGAAGTATGAAGCATGGTATGACCGAGGTAGGGCAGCTCGGCTGCCGAGCTCCAGCTGTGATGACAGGCAGTTGAGATTAGGTGATGAATGGCATGGTTTATGCTGACAGATGGGATAGCAGAGCCACGTGTCAGGAGATGGCAGGGAGTGGATATGGGGCTCAGTAGGTATATAAGCATGTCTGCGCCCCCCATACGCAACACACGAACATCTCTGTAAGAAATTCTTACACCCAAACACTCTCTCCCTTCTCTCTAGCTATCCTCTGTGTGTGTGTTCTAACTTGATCGTCGGAGGGTTTTTCCGGCCACACACCGCCGGGTAGCTCACCCTTATTGGCTCGCAGGTGATCGGACAGAGACGGAGGTCGGAAGAAAGGAGTACGGGCTCGCCGGAATATTTGCTCCCCGTACAGTACACATGCATCAAAACCACGTACTCTGGCTTTGGGGATGATTTCAATGCAAGTTGTTATGAGAGGATGAACAAGAAATTGATCGCCATTATACAACTTGCTGGTAATTCGGAAGGGAAAATTAAAATTATAGACCTTGGGTTAGATGAAATGAAGGATAGAGTCATGCACGATGAATCGGGTGATGAGAGTAATTTACCACATTCTACTAATAGGATACCATCTTCTAGAAAAAGTTCAATTGCCACTGGTTGTACATCGGGTGCTAGTACGAGGAAGGTGGTTAGTCCTTTGGTTGTTCGGCGAACAGGCCGTCCAGTAACGAAACGAAAGGTTGTCAAAGTAGATCAAATAGTGAATCGGTTCAAGGCAACGGCAAAAAAACAAACAAAAGCAAAGGTAAATTGTATATTGAATTGAACTTGTTTATTTTTTTAACAAACTCTTTTGAAGTACATTTTTACAAACTCTTGAACCAATATAGGCTGCGAAGGTGCTTCAATTTAAAGCTCAAGCTCAAGCTGAAGTTGAAGCTCAAGTTCAAGCTGAAGCTCAAGCTTATACATCATATTATCCTTATATGGTTGACATGCAAAATAGTGTGTATGCACTGGTATGTGTTCATAAGACGACTCAATTTTTTGTTTTCATTTACAAATATTTTGTAACATGTATTTTTTTACTTCAATTATGACAGGTCGTAAATGCTATTGGAGGCACATCTCTTATCCCATCGGATTTTGTAAGCGGCACACCGAGAAGTTTGATGAGTGCTCCAACTCAAATGTTTGGCTCTAGATCTCTAACCCCATCGGGTTCTAATGCATGCACACCGGGAATGAATGATGGACATTGCACAACGCGAATGAATGATGGAGATTGTAGAAATGTTTGACTAGTCTATTGAACATTGACATTTTGTTTTTGTGATTGAAAGTTATTATGTTAAGTCCCATGTTACATGTGTAACACATGTTGTGTATGAATTTGCAAGATTGGTTATTATTAAGTCCCACTTTATTGGTTATGCAAGATTGGTGTTTGAGTTCATGGTTTATTTTGACAATCTGTCTTTCAGCATTTTCAGTTCACAGTTGATGGTTTAAAAAAATTTGTAAAAAAAGCTGTTTCATTTTGCTATTTTGACAGTATTTGAGCATTTTGACAGTGTTTGAGCATGATTTTTTGAGAGTTCATGCAAAATCTCTATTGACAGTTCATAGTTTAAGAAATCTGTAAGAAAAATCTGTTTTTCAGTTTGCTATTTTGACAGTATTTGAGCCAAAATCTGATTTTTTCAGTTCATGGTTCAACCTGCCAAATTGTCTTTAAAAATCTGTCTTTGAAAATCGAAAAATCTGTTTTTAAGTTTCCTATTTTGACAGTATTTCAGCCAAAATCTGATTTTTTCAGTTCATGGTTCAAACTGCCAAAATCTGTCATTGTTCATGCTGAAACTGTTATGGTTCATGCTCAAATCTATAAAAAAATATGTTAAAAAACCTATCTCTAAAAAAATATGTCATGGTTCATGCACAAACTGTGCTTGTTCATGGTCAAATTTGTAAAAAATCTGTAAAAAAAAGCTGTCTGTAAAAAATTCTGCCATGGTTCATGTTGAAATCTGTTTCGAATCTGTCATGGTTCATGCTTAACAATTCATGGTTCATGCTGAAATCTGTTTAAAATTTGTCATGGTTCATGGTCAACAATTGATGGTTCATGCTGAAATCTGTGTAAAATCAGTCATGGTTCATGCTCAACATCTTTATTCCATAACAATTCCACAGCATCTTCATTCCACAACAAATCTGTTTCAAAGTTGTCATGGTTTAAAATCTATCATGGGTCATGGTTCATGGTTCACATCTTCATTCCACAACAATTCCATAACATCTTCATTCCACAACAAACCTGTTTCAAATCTGTCATGGTTCAAAATCTGTCATGGGTCATGGTTCAGTTCATGGTTCACATCTTCATTCCACAACAATTCCACAATAACACATCTTTATTGCACAACAATTCCACAATACCACATCTTCATTCAACAATTCAACAATTCATTTCCATTCCACTCAAAAATTCAACAATTCACAACAAAACATATTCCATTCCACAAAACATATTCAACAATACATATTCCATTCCATAACAAAACATAGTTCAATTTACTTCTACTTCTAACTAGCATTACATCTTCATAAGTAATAACACACCAATTACAAGCAAGACAAACATCAGAAATTCTAGTTTTTTGTGACAACCCTCACCACTGATTAGTGCTAATCCATGTTTAAGCATGTTAATTGACTGACTGACTGAATTACTAAACTGATTGATTGATTGTGCTAGCTTGAATGCAATTTTATCTGTTGATTGTTAAATTATATGTTCATGTTTTATGCTTTAAACTGTAAATTGAAGGCCTTATCGGCGGTCGAATATGAAATTGATTGATGTTTTGTGCTAATTAAGATTTATATGATTTTATGGCATATTTAATTGAAATTTGATTGGGTATGATTAAATTAGATTTAATAATGATAAATTACAAGGGTTAGACTTATCTACAAATTTGCTACCTAGTGGAGTAATATAGGCTAACCTCTCTTCACCTTATACACTTTTGATACAACATTTCCCTCAGCCTTTTTGAGAGCAAAACCGAATGAGAGAGAGAGGAGTAGAGAAACTTGGCTTCATCTAGAGAATTGCTTAGAGAATTGAAAGATTTGAAGGATAATTTGCATAATTGAGCTCCCATATCTTGCATTCAAGACCTAAGGTAGGACATTTACCTTTTTGTTTGTGAATTCAAGCTAATTGTTGCATGGTTCATGGTAAATAGGAGCTTAAGATCATAAATTGGTTGTAGATTGTTGAATAGAGGCTTAATTCATGTAGGCGTGTGCATATTTTGAAGTTTGAGGTTGTTTTCAAAGAAATTCTTGCATGCATGTCCATATTATTGTTATAGTCCATGAATTCCTCATGTTTTTGAAAGAATTGGCTCATTTGTTCATGTTTTGGAAGCTTGAAGTTGATTTAATTCATACATGTTATGTTTTACATCATGTTCATGGAATTTGTTTAAATTTGTGTTCAATTAAACTACATTTGGGCCTTGATTTTACAAATTGAGCTTTGAATCATGTTAAACTATGAATTTACAAGTGTTTTCCAGAAAATTGGCCTAAGAGGATCGAATTTGATGCATTAAAACTTGATTTTGAACTTAAGGTTCAAATCTGGAAATTCCAGATTTTGGACTCCCGCTCGAGCGGGAAATTCGTGTATCCAGCACTTTTGTTGTGTTTACAGTCCGCTCGAACGGGGTTTTGCACGCTCGAGTGAGGACTTGTGTCACACGCTCGAGCGGGTGTCGAGCATCCATCGAGCATAATTTTCACACATCTAGTACTTTTGCAGTCCGCTCGAGCGGAAAAGTTTAAGCTCGAGCGGAGACTTTTGTTTGTATGTCCACTCGAGCGGGAAAACCCACGCTCAAGCGGGACCTCTGTTTTCTGAAAATTTAAAAAATATTTTTAAAGTGCATCTTTGCATCCTCATTCCATTTTAGGCATTCTTAGGCCTAGTTTAAGGCATCTTAATGAGGATATTGATGTAGAACCATACCAAGTCAAGATAGGGATTAAGTTATTATTTCCCAACTGTGTAGCTTAGTGTGTGTTCACTCTGTAACTGTGTAGGGTTGGCATCCGAGGACGCATACTAGCTTATCTGTAGCCCAGAACTCTGTGAGCAACAATGCTGTAAAGATATGTTCAATAATGATTATCTTCTGAACAATTGAACTGTACTGTTTTCTGAAATGATACTGTTACTGAATGAATGATGTCTTATTTGTGAACTGTACTCGTGGCATCCATAGCAATTTACTGTTATTGAACTGTTACTGTAACCTGTTACAGAGATCTCTGTCGGTTCCCACGTTTGGAACCATTACTGATGGCCATCATTGACTGATCGGTCTGTTAAGACCTACTGTACTGTTTTGCTATTGGGTGTACCACATATGACTATTATAGTTTCTGAATTACTGTGTGGCATGATTTATGAGCCACAAACTGAATGACTGATATACTGTTTAAATGACTGTTTTCAATACTGAAAGGACATTCATTCGTAACCTCTTTACGCATATGTTATTCACTGGGCTTTAGCTCACTGCTCATATATATATGTAGGTATTCAGGCACCGGACCGTTGCTAGGGGCGTCAAGCCTAACTCCTGTTTTGTCAAGCCAACCTTTGTGCCTCACTAAGAGGTTCCAAGTCCTTCAAGCTGAGGCTGCTTGGGGTGTTTTAGTTTCCCCCCTCCTTGTTTATGTTCTGTATAGACTGAATGATGTTGTACTGTACTGTTCTAATAGGGATTAAGTCCCTGTCCTGAATGATTGTATATATTGTTCATACTGTTTTGGTACTGATTGTATATATATATATGAAAAGTATTTTTACATAAAGACTGTCACAGCTCATTGGACATCTTTTAATTACTGTTTTGGCTTCCACCAGCTCCTGTACTCTGTATTACTGTGTTACTATTAAGCAGGCCTTCGGTAATCTCGGATTACTGGCCGGTTACGGTGCTAAACCCATAGGGGCGGGTTTAGGTCGTGACATTTTTGCATCTTTGTACTAACAAAGGTAAATTGTTCCGTCATAGATCTTTGTTGTTCGGCCATAGCTCCAAGTTGTTCCGTCATAGATCTTTGTTGTTCGGTCATAGCTTGAACTTGTTCCATCATAGATCTTAGCAGTTCTCTTTTTACTTGTCTTGGAATTTCTTGATCTCCACATTCTGAATTCATAGGCACACACCATCCAATGAAAATACCACAACCATTACAAGAGTAGAATAGCTTGCTTTTGTTTCGATCGATCTCAGAAATTTGAATCATAGCCTTTTTCTTACATGTAGGACAATTTTTGTTGAAGTACATCAACCGATCTGAGCTACTAGCGTTGACAGTTGAACTTGACATCTGCAATAACAACTTATCCTCATTAAGTGAAAATTGAATCAAAAAGTGAACTCAATAGTCTCAAATGGGAATAGTCTCAAATTGAATCAAAAAGTGAAAATTCAACTATGGGAATAGTCGCATATTCACTGAACTCATATTCACTCTAACAGACTTCAGATTTTTTTAGCAAAATGTATATTTGATTCAATTTGAGACTATTGACAGTGTTGGAGTTCAGTGAATATGAGACTACTTTCAAACACTGTCAGTGAATATTCATTTACATTTTTCCAATTTGAACTCATACAAGTTTCATTTTCCAATTCACTGACATTTTCAACTCCATTTTCTCACTGAACTCATAAGTTCAGTGAATAGTCTCAAATTGAATATGAGACTATAACTTTTTTTAGCAAAATGTAATCCCATACTCAAACACTGTCAATTCACTGAAATTGCTCAATTTAAGTTCAATTCAAGTGAATATGATTGAACATTTTCCATTTTCCAGTATCAAGTGAATATTCAATATAAGTTCAATTCAATTCAAGTGAATATTCACTTACATTTTCCAGTCTCAGTTATATATAAGTTCAGTGAATATGATTTAAGTTCAATTCAATCTCAGATTATGTAAAATTGCTCAATTTCAGAAATTTGATTCAACAAATTTCAATTTCAGAAATGTTGATTTCAGAAATTTGATTCAACAAATTTCAATTTCAGAAATTTGATTCAACAAATTTGCTCAAGTTCATGCTCAATTTTAGAAATTTCAACAACATATAGATTACCTCAAGTTCGTTAGGGCAAAATCAGTGTACGTGGATTTATTGAACAACATATAGATTACTTCAACTTGGGGATGACAACATATAATTTCTATTTCTGAAATTGAGCATGAACAGAAATTAGGGCATCAACAACATATATAAGTTAATTTCAGAAATTTCAACAACATATATATTACCTCAACTTGGGGATGACAAGACTAGGGCAATTTCTGAAATTTCTGAAGCAATTTCTGAAATTTCTGAAATTGGAAAAATTAGGGCAAAATCAACATATATATATATATATATACACACCAGATTACCTCGTCGTCAATGAGATTGAAATAGAGGGAGTCGGGACACGGGAAGACATAGTAGGACCTGTCATCGGGGCGTGAAGGGGAGGAGTCCGTCCGTTGAATGAGATGGAAAGGGAGGGAGAGAGAGAGTCGAGTCGGGCGTCGGGCGTCGCAGTCAAGGACATCGGAGTGAAAGGGAGGAGCTGAGGGAGTCGGCCGTCGAAGTTGGGAGTTGAGGAGCTGTCCGTCGAGTTCAGGAGTTGTTCTGCCTCTCGATCGCCATTGTCATAGAGCTATATTTTCCCGTTCAAAAATGTTTTTGAATTCTGAAAAAGGAGGGGCGTCGGCTTTGTATGTCACGTGACCCATCACATGCCTGTCCAGCTCAGAGGGGGTTGAGGGGGTCTGTTTTTGAGGGGATCGGAAACATTAATCTATAGTAATATATATATATATATATACATACAAAAGATATCACCAAAGTAATATGTTAAATTTTTTGCAACAATATAATACAAGTAATAATGAGAAATTAATTATTCATAATTAAATAATTGGTCATAGTGTAGATATTTAGTGTTATATTTTTTGTGTGCATGTACCATTGTTTAAATAAATTATTAAATTCACATAAAAATTGAAAGATTTGTAAATAATTTGTGTAAAATTAGAGATTAGTGAAGAAAGATTTTTTTTTTCAAAAAAGTGAAGTTTATAGTGTTTGGTTTGGTTTGGTTTGTTTTTTCAAACTTTTGTTTTGAATTTTTTGGTTATCATATATATATATATATATATTATCTTTGACACTGTTTTTTTAATAACCATTTTATTTTCTTTTTAGATTCACTGAATTTAATACTTTTTATTTTTTAATTTTACTTTTAGATTTAGATTCACTTAATCTAAAAATACTTTAAAAATAATTTGTTGTGTATCCTTTTTAGAAAAAAATTATTAATATTAAATAATAATAATAATAATAATAATAACAACAACAACAACAACAACAAGAAAAATATAATAATAAAAAATTAGTATATGTTTGAATTTATAATTTTTTTTTTCCAATATCTTACTTTTTAATTCTATAATTTAAATATAAAATATGAAGAAATTTCAATATCTTTAATCACCAAAACTCATAAAATATAAAAACTAAAAACTTAAAAACAAATTTTAAAAATAAAATCAACGAAAGTGGTTCTTATTTAGAATTTTGACATCACATCTTCGTCATTAAAGTATCATGTAAAATATTAGAGTTTATAAAATATAACTTAAACAAAAAAAAAGTGTATGAAGATAATCTGCGAATTTTTGAGATACAATACAAATCTTTGCTTTAAAAACGCATATACTTTCTTTTGTCTAGATTCGAACGAATATGTATAACTTTAAGGTTCAAGCAGAATTATTCATAGTGATTTGATTCATGATAGACACATGAAATAAGAGAGAGTCATTGTTTTTTGTTTTTCATTTTTCATTTTTCAATCATCATCAATATAAAAAATAGGGTGATTGTTTTTTTTTTTTTTTAATTTTTTTTTAAGTAGGGGGACGGTGTGTTTATGGGGTGATTTGAGAACTTGGTTAAAAACTAACTTTTTGATTTTTTTTTTTGACTTTTTTGTCCTTTGTGTATAAAAAATATGAGATGTGATGTAATTCAAAATGGATTAAAAATTGAAAGTTAGCTTTTAGCTAGCTTACCAAATCACTCCTATATTTATGTAAGACTCTTGCGAGTAGTTATTATGTTTTTAAGTGTTAAACTTCAAAAATAAAAATAAAAAAAAAATTGACTTTTCATGAAAATATAATAAATTTAATAGGGTAAAATTGAAATAAAAAAAAATAAAAAACTTGACAGATTTTTCACACTTTTATAATTGTAGTAGGTTAATATTAATTTTCATATTATTTAGTTACCTTTCAAGAACAATCAAAAGATCACCAAAACGGCTCGAACAAGGAGAGTCTCCAAAATCAAATATTTCAAGGAATTCGCAAACAGTTTCAACTTAGAAAATACAAAAGCAGAGGAACTAATTCATGTTTCTGAAAATGGAAACCTTAAGCACATGATCGTCTCTATCGATCAGTTCAAAGACGCAAACATCTCCTGCTTGCAGAGACTGTTCCTTTGCAAATGCAGGAAACCCTCCACACAACAATGCTCTTCTCTGATTGGATATCAAATTCACAGGCCACAACTTGTCTAAGATTTGAAACTTCAATGTGGTCTTACTCTTTTTTATGTATGTATTCACAAAGCTCATTGCTATATTCTGCACAAAGTTTTGCAAATTTGTAAAAAAAAAGTATAAAATCTGATTCATGACAATCATATTCCAGAATGACTACAAAAAATTATAAATACCCATTGTCTCATTTTTACGCGAAAACAATTTTTACAAAATTGTCGCATCCATGTTCTGATGAATGAGAGAGAACGAGGTTTTAGTTGTTCCAATTCACAAGATTATGTAGTGAAATATGTTAGTTTGGGGTGAGTTTTTACCAGATATCGGTTATGCAAATTAGTAGGACGCATAACTCGAATGAAGGAAGGATAGTTTGAGGTGGACATGAATTTCTCGGCTGCTTCAAGAGCTCTTCCTCTGCCTTTTTCTTGTTTTGCCTCTGCAGCAACTATCGACCACGAAGACCTTCGAATAATCCTCTGCCGTGCTGCACTACTCTTCTTTTGTATCTTCTCTCGCAACACATCTGCATTATAAGTTATACATGATGAATGAGACTTTGACAATGTTCTTCAAGGCACATCGCAAAATGATCTGTTTAGTTTGAGAGAAACCACTTTTTTACTGTCGAAGAAAGTGTTATATTGTTTTCTATTGTGGCTTTAAAAATAGGTTATTTTTCTGTATTTTTGCAAGGTATTTTTTTGTCTCTTACACCTTGAAGTTACTCTTACGGGTTAGGATTGCCTCTTAGGGCCCACAGGCTTCGCTTAAGAAATCCAGATTCATGCCTATATTTTTGGATTTTTTTTTCTTCTTTTCCTCCCCTATTTTTTCATAGCCACCTTTCACAGCCCAAAAGGCCCTTGGCCCTTGGCCCATGCCCAGGCCCAACCCAAGCTTCGTTTGGGCCGGGCCAGCCAACCGAGGTACAGGCTTAGCCTGGGTTACGAGCTAAATGGTGACCCTTAGGCAGCCGCGGTGATAAATTCAAAAAATATATATATATATATATATATTATATTTTTTTTTTTGTGAAAATAAATTTATTTTCTGTTCATCTCAACAAGTATTTTTTTTATTAGATTTTCGTTACTAATATTTTTTCAAAAAATAATTTGTGCCGAAATGAAAAGAGGCTAGCTAAGTTTAAAATGTGAGTTACCAGTTTGATTAGCAGGGTCTGCTGCAGCAAGCTTTTGACAGCAATTCTTACCATACATGTCTACATGGAATTGTGAATCTCCCTCGTATCTGAAAAGTAAAAAGTCACCCATTTCTAAAGAGTTGTCTCGCACAAACGCAGCCCAACCTTGGTGGAAAAGCAAGCGATCATCATCAACTTTTCTGATATTGACATTCCATGATCGCTCTTCTGCACAACTCCAAATTATGCAATTCTGAGGCACACTTCCACCAAAATGCTTTTTAAAGGCTGGTGGAATTCTCTGTAACCAAAAAACCCATGAACAAGAAGAAAATAATTGTTTCAATAAAATCTCATATCATATGTATGTTACTCCTAGAGAGAGAGAGAGAGAGACCAACTGGTTAGAGAAGTCGCCAATCAAGACCTTGAAAAACGAAGGTGCTCTTCGCGGTGCCATTTTCATGAGTTCAGGAAATGTGATTGAGAGAGGGAGAGATGATGATGGCAAACCACCACCTAAAAGCCTTCTGAATTAGAGGGCATTGAAGGGACGCTGATGGAAGAAGTTAGGAACACTAGGTGCTTAAGTGGTTAATTACTTAAAGGATTAATTACCAGCTAGTCCCAATAAGTGAACTTAAAACATTTCTAAGTTTTATCCATCTTGTTTGGTTTAACGCATTTTTAAAAAAATTATAGGTTTTTTTATTTTTTATTTTTACTGATTTTTAGTATTTTTTTAATTTTTTTTTTTTTTTTACATATTTTTGTATTTTGTTAGATATATTTTGTCTAGATACATTTAAAAAGTATAATATTTGTGAATCTTTTTTTAAAAAAATTCACCAATACAAAAAAATATAAAATTTTAATATATTTTTGTATTTTGTTGTATTCAATAAATTTTTAAAATATTTTTATATATATTTATTTTTTGAGTATATCAAGATTACGTAAATTTAAAAAGTAAAAAAATTATTAAAAATAAAAAAATAAAAACTGAAAACACAAAAATTTGTTCTTGAAAATTCCAAACCAATACATTCTAAAATACCATGTTATCATCATTATTTTTGTATCTATGAAGTTTTTTCATCTTCTCCCTTTCTCTCTCTCCACTATTTTTCCAAATAGATTGGGTTGTCTTAAGTCGGTCATCTAATTTGAGAGCGTTTAGACTTAGGCCTTGTTTGAAGACGAATCATTTTAATTAAAAAGTCAAAAAGTTATTATAAATTATCATATCATTCTCTTTATTTTTTTATATTTCTTAATATGTTCTCAAACGATGCCTTAGTTGGCTCATTTTGAAGCCAATCTTGGTGATCCTATCCGTTTATTTTTTTAGAACTCGTTAAATAAAATTATAAAATATTCATACAAAAAATTAAGATTATCATATATATATATATATATTTGAATCATATTTGATTTAAAAAACTAGATGGCAATTATAATGTCAAGAGTAGCCGTCTATTTTTTATAATACAAATGTGATTTAAATATATAACTATCGATGTTTGATATCTTAATTTTTTGCTTAAATATTCTATTAATTTCTATCCTAAAAAATTAATGATTTGTGTTTTGATAATACTTCTCTTAACAAAATTTAATATCATGATTATTGATTCAAAGCGTTTTTGTTTTTATTTTTATTATTTCTTTCGTCATTATCTTTATCATTTGCAAGTGTGAAGAAAGAAAAGACAAACAAAAGGTTGTGGCAATGGATTGGCATGATTTGTGATAAGATTTGATTGACCTTGTTCTGTGGAAAGATGGTCCAGCATGGATGGCAAGCATGTGCAAAGGATTATTTTTGTCTGATAGAAATATGGCTAATATCATGGTGGAAAAACAGATCATAAAACATGGAACTAATGTCAAAAAAAAAACAACAACAACATCAAAAGGCAGGTTCTCTGTTGTTTTTCCTCCATGATATTATAATTGCCATCCATACTGGACCATCGTTCTACAGAAACAAGGTCAATCAAATCTTATCACAAATCATGCCAACCCGCTGCCACAAAACCTTTTGGCCTTGTTTGGTTTGGTTTTCAAAAAAAATTTTGGAAAAAATTCTCTATAAACAAATTTTCAAGAGTAATCAAATCAAACAAATTTTTTAAAAAAAAATTTCAAAATTTTGTTTGGTTACCTACTTTTCAAAATCTCTCTCTCTCTCATACACATCAAATCAATCACTTTTTTTAAGACTCTCTCTCCAAAACAATTTTCCAAAATCATTTCTAAAAAAAGACAAACCAAACAAGTTTTAATACTTTTTATCTCAAAAACCACTATACAAACACAAACCAAACACATTTGTTTTTCTTTTCCTTCTTTTGGCCCACAACACTTGCAAATGATAAAAATAATGACCAAAAAAATAATATAAATAAAACATTTTTGAATCAATAATTATGATATTAAATTTGTTAAGAGAGATATTGTCAAAATACAAGTCATTAATTTCTTAGAATAAAAATCCTAACAATCACCCTTTTTGACAATGTTAAGACAACTTCATAAACATTCCTGCACAAGATCTGAAGATTCAAGCAATAAATGGAACATAAATGATTAAACTAAAAAATCATGATTTTGTCTTTGGAACGCAATTGCCAACTTGCATTGTAATACACAAATTAAGATTGAAAATCTAAACATATTCTACTAAAAAAAATGAACAGTATCCATCACCGAGGTTGGCCCTAAAATTGGCCCACCAAACATAAATGCTCTCACAAGTTGAGATGGTCAACTTGAGAAAATCTAAACCCTTATTAAAAAACTTCACACCACCATTGTCTACCATCATTGCCATCTGCCACCGCCACCATCATCGTCCATTGGCTACTATCACCGTTCACCAACCACCTCTATTATCACCAATCTACACTATAATATCTTTCATCTATTAAACTAATGCAATCAGCTCGGATGTTATGAAATTTAAATTTTAAGATAGTACAACAAAAATTTATTACAATTGTGAAATTAACAATAATTTATTCATTACTTAGATACAATCAATATAATTATATTAAAATTGTGAAATTATTCAATCTTTGAAAACACCGTGATTATGTGCTCAACCAATAGTATAATGTATTTTTCTATATATTCCTATTTTTTGTGTCATGTAATTACATAGTCATTTGTTATTGAGTGGCATACCATTGCCATAAGTCTTAAAACACTAGATAATTACCAACACTGAAAATAATAACTAACAAATTCCAAACAAACTAGGTATTATTTGAGTTACTACAAACATGATCTGCCTAATTTTCAACTATCAAAACATGAGCAAATTGTCAATTCCTTCTAATATGCTTATTAATACCCAAAAGTTAAAAGAAAAAAACAAATTAAAAAAAGAGAGAAGAAAAACGTGTACAAACAAGCTATTGTAAAGATGAAAGGAAGCTTAGGTCCTGTTTGGGGACTTACCGTTTTAGCCAAAAAGTCAAAAAGTTACCCTTTTAGTCAAAAAGCCAACAACTCATACCAAATAATCAAAGATTCTCTTTTCTCTCTACTTTTTGCACATCTTTTCGTAATTAGCCAAAAAGTCATCCCAAACATATAAGTTTTTTTACCTACCTTTTTAGCCGAATAGCCAAAAAGTTACTAAATTAGCATGTTCCCAAACGAGGCCTTATGTATTGTCAATGACAAACATAGACATATAATTCTGAAGCGAATTGCAAAACTAGTGATTCCAAGTAACCATAGACATATAATCTTTAATAAGGTTTGTTAGCAAAGGCCCAAGGTGATATGAAAGAGTAGACAATCAAAACATTGAAAAACAGGACGCAAGAACATGTTGATCAAAACACTCGCAAAACATGTAAACACATACGTATCTTTGTATGATCATACATTTCAAAATAGCACTTAATGAAAATTTTACCACATCTTTTTGCATTCTGTCTTCAACTCTCAAAACACTCTGATATATTAATACACTGCTCGAAATATTGTGACATTCAGACAAACTTCAGTGGCGTCGATCAACTCAAAGATGCAGACATCGCCTACTTTTAAATTGTTGTCTCGCACAAATGAAGCCCAACCAAATTTGCATTTTCCATTCAGATGACAGTAGCAATTCACAGTCCATGCTCTCCCATCAGAAAGCCTTAGTATGACATCTCTCTGCTTCACGCTGAAATGTTTCATCGCAAATGCTAATGGTACATTCTGCAACAATTAAACAAAGACTTTAAAAATTTTATTTATTTGTTTATTTATTTTTGCATCTCAATAGAGTGATTCAACCAAAATTGAGGTGGTACGAGTTGAAAACTAGATTCTTATGACAATGGTTGCAATGAATCAAGAAATATAACACAATCACCCAAATTTGGAATGGTTTAAGAGAATTTTAAATTGATAGCTTACCAAATTGAATCTGAAACAAACATATGATGGGTGCATAGAAACCATGAAGAAAGGGTTTTCAGATTTAAAAGCTTTGGCTCTTTGGAGGGCTCTAGCTTTCCCATCAATGGACGTGCCTCCGCTATGTTCTTCTGCAAGAAAACCAAACACAGACAATTTCTTTTGTAACATTGGATATGGATGCAACAAAATCAATATCATGTAACAAAATGCTCACAAGGGTATTTTGGTCTTTCTACATATGAGAGAACTTTTTGATGAACAAATAAACAAAAATAAAAAAGTATGAAAAGTTCATACTCTTAATTTCGCGTGTCAAACAAGGAGGCTTCACATCATTTTTTAAATTCGGAAGCTTGAACCCATCGAAGTTCTCCATTTTACATCTTAGATTGGATCTCTTCACTTCAACAGAGCCATCTTTCTCCATATCTGCAGCCCTACTTGTTTGGCATTTAGGAAAAACATCCAAAATTTCAATTGAAGAATCTCTCTCAAGTTCATCCGTCTCAGAAACTTCCTCCACTTTTGTTTGCTGTGTGGGAAAATCTTCCAAGATTTCAACAGAGTCATCTATTTCAATGTCTTCTTCTGTTTCAAGCAATTGCAATTTTTGGGTGGGATTGGATGGATATTCAATCTCTGAAGCACTCATATCAAATATAATGACATGAAAATTGGAATTCCCGTCATATCTGAATACCAAAAGGTGTCCAAAGCGAATCGAATAATATTGTGTGAAGTCTTTCCAGCCATTGGATAACCAAACTTCTTCATTAGAGTTCATCAATTCAACTTTCCATACTGCACCACTTGGAACATTGAGAAATACAAGGTTGGCTAGGTTCTTGCCATGTTTAGTCATAAATTTTCTTGGAATCCTCTGCCATGAACATCAAATTAAGCTTATCATACTTGTAATTTTGTGTCATAGGAGCAAAAAAATATATGTATGTGTCATCTATGCTTTGTACTCAACAAGCTTATATGGATTAGTAGTACAAAAAGTAATAATTATCTCAATTTCATATATCTTTTTACAATTTGGAATTTTACCAACCTAAGTCAAGAAGGGTTAATTAGGTACCAAGAAAAAATATCACAAAAAATATATATGTAGACCAAATTTATTGAAAATTACCAACACCATGTCCCCATTATAGAGATGTGAGTAATTCACAGCAATAACGGTTGCTACCATTAGATGAAGTATATAATGGCTGCACAATTAGGGGTGCAACTCGGGCGGGTTTGATTGGGTTGGGAGGTTGTCCAAATCTAACCCAAGTTATGCTGAGATCTACCAAGTTATGCAAGAGAGATGCCGCTGTAATAGTCTTTACAATTTGTGAGTAAAAATAAAAAAAAGATTTTGTGTTATTTGTATATATATATATATATATTCAATGTAATTTAATAATCTAAATTACTTTAATATCATGTAATATATATTTAATATTTTTATATATCTATATATGTATAATTCGGGTTTCAGGTTGCTCGGGTTGTTTAATGTCTTTACCCAAGCCCTCCCCAAATTTAATTCGGGCTTCTGAATTTTTGTCCAAGCCCGTACCAAATTTGAAAAATATTTTGTCCAAGCCTTAAAAAAATTCGGGCTGGGTTCAGGTTGCTCGGGTTGAACCCGCCCAAGTTGCACCCCTATGCACAATTATGACCGTTATATTTTTATTTTTATAAAATTTTATATACAAAACTACTTTTTTTTTTTCATTTTTTTTCAACTCTTAAAATAAAAAAAAAATCTTATAATTACACGAGTTTTCAACTTAATCCTTTCTTTATGTGGAGAAGTGGTTTGGAAATACTCCATAATCCAGTTAGACATTTTTGATCCTCTGATTGCTACCTGAAAAAGGGATGAACACTTCGGTCGGGAGTGCTAGAATTAGCACTCCAACGGACAAGTCAATATTCTCTCCAATTTACTTCTATCTCAAGTTATCTTGTATATTCTCACATACCTTCCTTCTGGTTAATGTTCCTCCTATTATAATGCTCTTTTAGGGCGCACCTTCTGATTTATGGAAATCCTGCCCTAACAGCTGGGCCCTCATTTACGCCGTATGATTTGCAACATACTCGGCTATAAAAGTAAGCTTACTCGGCTGAGGCGGGCCACAGTTAGTCAGCTCGTAAGAGCCAACTTGCAAATGGCTCCACCAAATTGTAGCCTTTTATATTCGGCCACCACAATTGCCCCCCAAACATCCAAGTTTAGATTAAGATGATCAGCATGTTTGGTCGACGACTTTGGCTTTGAAGTCGGACAAACCCTTGAAAGTCGGAAATACGGTGGTTGCACTCCTTTTGGTACTGATTCGTCAGAACAGACTACATATTGCAATCATTTCAACTTCCCGCCCCTTCGCATTTGACAATCATTTAATGTTCGATTTGAAAACTGTTCTTCCGTATATTTTTTAGCTCAAGAGACTTGCTACTTTCTCTGGCATCCTTTTCATCGACCTTTTTTGCGACCTCTGTGATTCTGCTTTTTACTGTTCATCTTCTCCTCCAACCTGTAAGTTCCCCTCTCTCTTTTCATCCAGTTCTCGTTCCAGTCCTTGCTTGTTTTGTTTTTATTTAGTATACATTTGGTTCATATTTCGTCTTCGATAGCAAGACATTTGAAAGCCCTCCTCTCAGAGGAACGAGTCTCGGCCTTTCGTCGTTATTTTTCAATTCCGGATGACGTACACTTGTCTCTTGTTGCAGACAATGTGTTGGGCATGGAACGGGCTGATACAAACACCATTATTTTCCCTCTTTTATCTATCGCTGAGGGTGGAGTCCGATTTCCCCTCCATCCCTTTCTTAGGTCGGTCCTGCGTTACTGGGGTCTTATTCCCTTCCAACCTAAAATGAATTTCTACTGCATAATCATGGGAATAGTAGAGTTGAATAGGTGGTTAGGACTTAACCTAGGAATCCCAGCTATTCGGCACTGTTACGTCATGGTGAAGTCGTTCGGTCGGTAGGGCCGTTATTTCATAAGAGCTAAAAACATTGATCATCACTTGGTGACCATGCTTGCCAGCTCAGGAAGGAGGGTTGATGATGTCATGGTTGCCGTCAAAGGCAGTTGGGAATTCAGCGAATAAGAGAATCTCCAAGACCTAGTGTCGAGGAAAAAAGGAGAGCCAGGTGGCCGACTAGATTGTTATGATACTATTTTTGTAAACTGTGAATTTGGCATAAATCTTGTACTGATCTATGATTGTCATGCAGGTAACGATTTAAAAAGGGCGTTGACATCAGGAGACGAAGTCGTTCTTGCTCAAGTGAAGATTACTCTTAACTACAAAGGCCGCCCCAACTTTCAAGGGCAAGGGCGCGCAGCCTATGTTCTATTGAGACACGACCCCCCCTATGCCACCTTCTCGGCTACTGACCATATGCTCGTGCTGAGAGGCAAACAACATCTGACTACACTTATATTCCCTAGTTTCAAAGCCTAAGAGATATTGGTGTTGACGGTTCCGACGCCGACGAACCAATCTCTTTTCATCTAACTGCACTTATATTCCCTAGTCCCTTGCTCAATTCGCTAGGAGGCATAATGCCGATAGTGACCGAATATGTTTCAGAAGAGCCCCGACATATCATAGAAGTCAATCCTTTGGGGCAGAAACGGCAAGCTGAGATCGTCCCCGATCTAATTGAAGCGCCGACAGATAAATGACAAAGGATTGAGATGTCGTCTTCCACTGATGAGGTATTTGAGCCATTTGTTATCCATCCAATGATGAAGAATGCGCCGGTTCTCTCCAATAGATCGGTCATCAAAGATCCTGTTGTGGCCTTGAGTGTCGCTTCGGCTCTCTCTTTGCCAGCTGATAAGACCACCTTCCGCGCCGAACCGGATGTTGTCTCTATTGCTCTGGCAGCACAGTCGGCCATATTGGTAAGTTTCGACCCCTTGGATTGTATAACTTGTTTTTAGTGCCGACTAATAAGTCTTGGTTTATTATTTTTGTCAGGCGGCGAGGAGAATTGTCGAGATCAGCCGTCGTCACTATGACACCGTAGAGAGACTCAGTGTCCTTGAGGGCCAGCTGAGAAGGGGAAGGCCGTGGCTGCAATTGCTGATTTGGCTGTGGCAACGGCTAAGGCGAGTCTGAAACCGTGAAGGCAGAGAAAGAGAAGACGAGGGCCATTGCTGCGCAGGAAAAGGCTCAAAATGCCGATTAGTTACATAGGGATGCTGAGAAGAGAGTGAACTTGCTCGACGACTCCCTTAAATCGGCACAAGAAGAAGTCTCTCGGCGGAAGGCTGATCTTGAAGCTAAAAAGAAGGCAAGAGAGCTCGCTGAGGCAGAAATAGCCAAATCTTTTGATGCCGGCTATCTGAAGGCCAAGGAGATGTACGCTGATGAAGTCTTGAAGTTCAAGAATCAAGGTTTCAAGCATGGATGGCTAAAAGCTTTGGCGGCCGTTAAAGTGACTCTCGATCAGTCGATTCATCAGATCCAGAGGAGTTAGACTTTTGATCGGTGGTTTTGTAATGAATGTTCAGCCATTATTGGTTTTTGTTAGCTTTGTTTTGCAAGCTTTTCTTAGTTTTTGTTAGCATTTTATTTTAGATGTAAGCCATTTTCATGTATAAAGTGGTTGTACGCAATACAGTTTGTTAATGAAAATGTTCATTTTGTTAATGAATGAAAATCATTAAGTATTAGTAATGAAAATGTCCGTTTTGTTAATGAGTGAAAATCATTAAGTATTGAAAAACAGAAATGTGCCATATCAATTAAGATCATGACCTTTACATCTTAATTCGGCAAAATGCTTGAAGATAAACCAAATATATTCATAAATCTGCCTTTGCTCCAGTTGATCACTGAACATAACTGCCAAATGTATGGACTAAACGTTCATGGGATCAGTTGGGGCATTGTCTTTATTCGGCGCACTGCTTGAAGATAAGTCGAATATATTCACAAATTTGCCCTTGCCCCAGTTGATCACTGAGCATAACTGCCGAATATACGGACTAAACATTCATGGGATCAGATGGAGCATTGTCTTTATTGGCACACTGCTTGAAGATAAGCCAAATATATTCATAAATCTGCCCTTGCCCCAGCTAATCACTGAGCATAACCGCCGAATGTATGGACTAATCGTCCGTGGGATCAAAATGGGACACTATCATTATTCGGCAAAATGCCTGAAGCAGTTGTTTCATAAACGCTGCATCCGTAATTAATAAGTGGGGGCGGAGGGGCCAGGCGCGCATTAAATATGTCAAGAAAAGTATTCTTTAATTGCAGAGGGGAAAGCGGGACGCTAGCTGAAGTAGATTTAGAAATGAACCGAGGGGCTGGTGGTGAACCCACCCAAACGGGTAATAGGACATTGGAGGAGCATGAGAGGCGTCGCTTCCCCCGTCGACAAAGCAGGTCTCCAAGAGAGAGGCAGCAATGAGGGAGCTCCAGGGCTAGGAGTAAACATGCCTTACCGCGAAATGAAACCAGCAGGTCACCGCGCCCGTTGAGTTTTTCAGTTTCGTTAGGAATAAACCGATGACCGAAGCAGACTCAATTATCCACGATCCGAACGTGGCAGTAAAGTTCACTTGACAAATTTTTCTGCCCGAAGTCCAACAATCAATGGTCGGTTGACCTAATTATGAAATTTTTCAAGATGGCATCCATGGAGCGATTAAAGGACTTTACACTTCCTACGAGATCGGTATGCATCTTCGTGCCACGCGAAGACAGATCGAACAGAAAGATGGCTGCATTCGAGACTTGAAGCGCCGTACAGAAAAGGCGGAGAGTAAGCTAAAAAAGGCCAAGGTAGCAGAGTATCAATCGGCGGGTCAGACGAACCTGGTGGCTATAGATAGGGTAAACCGGCGCTTGCTTGATCATGCCATAGCCGATCGAGATAC